CCCCAAAACCCCAAAACCCCAAAACCCCAAAACCCCGTAGAGATAAATTCTTAAGAGGTACATAATATAATCTAAGATAGTTTAGTAGATGAATTGTTAACTTGTAAGTTGCATGTTAATGATATACTTAATGTTTTATCATTTTGAATTGATATCATAATTTTGATATTAAATATAAGCCGTCTGCTCTTCATTGGAGGAATAAAGACTCATTTGAATCGTTGGCATGGCCGAATTTATGATTAGTTATGAGTTGATATTAAGTTTCAACTGTTAACTCCTTGAGTTTCATGTGGGTGTACTCTGAGCTGTCATAGACCTTTGAGTCAGTCATTGTTGGCCATTTTGAGGTGTATCGTCCCCAAACAATATCACCAGCACCAATGAGGTCATCGTAACTAGACATCAGTCCAAAGGTATAAGAGCCTTCTTGAATGCTATCATCATTAAGCTCTTGAAGATAAGAGCTGAGTCCAAAGGGACCTATTGCGTATCCTGGATAGAATCCATTCAAAGAGTTGCAAGTTTAGATGATGGGTGCAACGTAACATGCGGTAAGACCATAGTTGCCACCAGCGATTCCAATAAAAGTGTCAACCTTGTTTGCAAGGGATACACCTAAGTTAAATGGGTTGGAAGCGGCATTCACCTTGCCTCCCTTGATTATTCTTCTTGCGAGTGTGACTCCCATTGAGTGACCCATAGCATTAATCTTTGAGGATCCTGTGTATGCGAGAACAGCTTCTGTGAAAGCTCTAAGATATTCCAAATATTCTTATGAGTGTGTTTGGTCACTAGCCTTGTCTTTGTTAGCGGGTCCCCAAGTAGTAATATAGAGTTCACTCTTTTTGTAGCCCTTACTCATGAAGTATTCAATAGATTTGGTAAAGCCATTGAATTCTCCATCAGTTCCAACTGCCACGTCAGAGTTACCGTGAAAATAAACAATGGGGAAGTGAGTTACAGAATCGTCATCAGATTCTTTGCCACCGAATGATCCACCAACGAGCTCTGATCGGTCGAATCCATATTTACCGTAGCCATTGGCATTCAACCAATCCTTGAAATGAGTAGTTAAACCTCTGTCTAGGTCTGCTTATGCTACATTAAGCAAACATGACAAAGCAGAGAAAATGAGGATATTTTTTTAGGAAGGCATTATAATAATTATATAATATTGAACTAAGGATTTACTTTGATGAATTAATAAATCCACTTAATTATATCCCTTGGCAAATTAATTTGCTCAATCTATAATATGGCAACTCGGGGTTTTGGGGTTTTGGGGTTTTGGGGTTTTGGGG